TGTAATTATTTGTAGGCAAAGAACACAAGGGATTTTCATTTGAATAACAATATGAGAACATAAACAAAACGATATGCAAGCTCCACTGCACTGATCCACGCGATCCACTTGATTTCGTGGACTAATTTATTCATATCATATCTGAACCAATGAAAATCGCTACCCGGATCTTGGTAGCGCTACGTCATCAGTATGGAATTTTTGGCCCAGTTGCTCAGACGTTCCTTTCGCGAGGAAACGAAGGGAGCGAAAGGACGGCTGCTTTTCTCAGGCTAAATAATAGGGTAAATGATATTCATTCAAGTGATCTTGGGACGCCATGAATTATTATCAGCTTAGAAAAACTGAAGTTAAAAAGTCCACTTTATTAACAGTATAGGTTTTTAGGGAAAATGGAAAACCGAAAATATAAAAAAAATATTTAATTAAAATATCGTTACAGATGCAAAGTGACCAAACGGACGTAAAGACAGCAGAGTGACAATAACTCTAAGAAACGACGTTAAATTTAAATTTACAAGACATGTTTCGACATTCTCATGTCATCTTCAGTTGCAAATGAGCTTTTAACGGCGGGTTGTACATTTGAATTCATATCAAGTTACGTTACAAATTACGTGGCCGGACTTACGTTAAAATTTGAATATTGAATACTCGTAAAATGAAAATAGCTCGCGCATAACTAGACCAAAAAAAAGTTAATACTAATAATAAATAAATATATAATAACAGACAAAAGAAGCAACATAATTGAAAGGAAGGAGATAAATCTAGATGCTTCAACTGCTGATTAAGAATGGGTTTTTCCCACTTAATATGCAATGCCTCTTTGATCTTAATTTGGAATTTTGAGGCGGCAGATGCAAAGTGATTTTAAAAATGTTTGAGTTTTTTATCTTTACGCGTCTCGCGTTACTGGAATTAGGAACAAAACGAAGATAAGTGCAAAATGTTAGGTCACTATACCCTTTATATCCTAAGAGTTTCATTCATTACTTACTTCTTCTTTTACGCACGCCAATTAATCGTGAATGTTTCCTATGATCACAAGGAATTAAAAGTCGAAGAAGCTTGTGGTCCCGTTTTTTCAAGCAAACTGTCCAGACTACGGCAGGTGATTAAATCATTTATATAGCGATTCTCCTCTGCAATGAACGATTTATTCTTTGCAATTAAAAAATATCTTTAAATAAAAATGTTGGTTATATAAGGTTGGACGTCGAGCGGTGAATAAGGAATTATTGAATTAAACCCTTTTAATATCTCATTGAGGTACAGAGTCTTGAGTAGCCTGCGGTCAGCGGAGCCTTTCAAGACGGGGCACGCAACTTAAGCAACACATCTACTTAATCAAACTCGCACGGCATAAAAGAAGATTAAGTGAATAACTGGAGAAATGAATGTGATAAATAAGACAATTTTAGAGAAGCAGACAAATTTTATAACAAATACAGAGTAACTAAGGGAAGAAAAGGGTAATTAAGACACATTAGAGATTTAGAAATGATACGAGTCAAATTTTATCTCCCCATTTTAAAGACTTTGATAAAGCGAGTTACCCATTTGACATTGGAAAGGTGGTTCATTTCACTCAAGGGTTAGTTTTGGATGTCATTCTAAAAGTTGATTTTTATTCTCGCAAAAGAAAGTAGTTTTTTCCTTGATTGATTATATGGCATCGTAAAAAGGGGAAAATTTATACCCTTTGTGATTAATTTTTGAAAGGAATCGGTGGAATAAATCAGTATTGACAGATGATGAATTGCTTATGCTAATGCTGTGATGAAGGGACCTGTGAGAATTAGGATAAAAAGCGAATGGGAGATTGAAAAACAAAAAGCTTGTAACGCGGATGCTAGTCGGTCAGAAAGCAATTTGAAGACTTCCTACAAACGAATTTATTGTAACCAACACCATGTTTTTTTAAACGACGTTTTGTTTTGTTTATTTTGTTTTGTTTTGTTTTTTTAACTATACTAAATTGTATTCTCTACAATAATTACGGTTTTGAAATACGAAGTAATAGGTTCTTACTAAAACATTTAGTGATTCAAATGAGCGACCGCTCCACGGTCATTTTCAAGTTCATGAGTAAATTTCCGTATATATACGATTTCTGAAACAATGGAATGAAGGTAAAAGCATTTACATATAAACAATAGGTAAAGTCTGTTTACTAGCCCAGTGGCCCATTAGACCGATGCTTAACTCCGGTTTCTGTAGCATGGAGTATTTGTACTCTACTAGGAGTATTTCTACTACCCCCTGGATGGGATGCCAGTCCATCGCAGGGTTACCCCCAGCATTAAATTGCCGGTACCCAGTTATACACCTGGGTGAAGAAAGGCACTGTGAGAGTAAAGTGTCTTGCCTAAGAACACAACACAACGTCCCGGCCGAGGCTCGAACCCGGACCACTCGATCCGGAGTCCAGCGCACTAACCATGAGGCCACCGCGCCTCCTCATATAATCAAGAGAGCTAATAATTAATTAGAAAGTGCAGAAATGAAGTGTAAATAAGTGATGAAAATTATATTTTCACCGCTTATTTTTTGTACTCAATCGCAGTCGTTATCACAGCTTTATTGAAAGCTTATCGAGTGATGACAACAGCAGCTAAATACAAGCTCCGTATATGTAAATAGCCCAAACAGGCTGAGACATTCTATATGACAAATTCTATTTATAGATCAGAATCAGTATTGCTTAGCTCATAACTCAACATAACAACGAAAAGAACTGAAAGTTTTAGAGTATCCATGAAATAATTCTGAAATGTCTAGAAATCACGATAGTTACGAATTTTTAAAACTTCCTAACCAATTTTACATGATTCTTATTTTATCGATGAAATTTGCCGTGCTTACGGTGACTTCTGGGAAGCGGGGACAGCACCGAGGTGAGACTGCTTACCTTCTATTTATTTACTCACTTTCACCAGAGTGTGGTGAGGGTCGCACAACAGAGCGAGGCTCCTTACTAAGTGCGCCCTATATCCCATCCATCCCACCCCAGGGGAGGACATCCATCACACAGTAATCTCGTGTGTGGGAAATTAACGTCTCCTACCCCAACCCTGCAGGAGACGGGACCTCCATTTATTCGTCCCTATCCGAGAAGACTAGAATATCTAACCATTTCTTGATGTTATAGAAAGGTAGCAAATTCTTCTCAATTATTTTAAGACC